ATTTTCCCTGTTGTACGTGTCAAATTAAGTAATAAAAGTCCAACCTAGGGACAGTATTATACCACGCTAGTGTGCTGAATGTAGAATCCTGGTAAATTGATATGTGGAAAACTGTAAGTAATGTAATCGAAAACTTATGTATAAAACTTTTGAAAATATATAATACATATTTAGTTTTATATAGGCGAAAATTTTATTTCCTGAATAATTAAAATTATAGAATTAAAGTTTAGTTTCAAATCATACTACATCCTTGAGGATATCTGCATTACCTAAAGCCTTTCAAGATCCCCGCACTTCACAATACACATTATAAGCCGTCTAAGTTTTGTGGTTATTGAGGCTTCCAGCAATTATCCAAGGATTCTCTATTTTCTAATTTATTGCTATCAAGCTGTGTTTGCCTAAAAACTTGTTTACTGTTAAACCCACATCAATCCTTTTCTTAAATAATCCAAGTCGAAATCAAACCGCGACCTAAATTATACTGTGACTACCTACACCTACAAGATCAAGGGGGTGGAAAATTACGTCGCTGGCCGTTTTGATTAGGGTCATGTCTTTGATAGGGTCTGAAAGGAATGAATGCCTCCTCGAAAATCCCTGAGAATTAACGCATTTAAAATTAATAGGCATGAAAATCCTACAATCCACGTAATGTACCTCCTAGACTAATATGAAATGAATGAGTAGTATGTTTGTACAAGTATATGATCGCGATTTCGTGTTGTTTATTCTCCCATTAACGTTCTAATGGTGGTGTAGCTTTCAGTTGGGACATAAAATTTTAATAGGGCTTTCTAATTAAGAATTATTATCAAATTTTAGTGTAATAATAGGCTAAGTATGGCAATCAAAAAAGATACAAAATCATTCCAAATTTCTAAAAAAAAGCGAATACACTTGAAGCATTAGAAACTTTAACATATAAAACCTTTAGTTTGTATAAATAAATAATCCAAATATGAACTATTAAACTGTCAACTTGGATAATGAGAATAAATGTCGAGGCTCTATCAACGAGAAACTTTGGGATGGCAGCCAGCAAAAACTTGGTTTTTCCCATTAATCGAAAAAGGGGAAGTTTAATCCGTGTTTATTGCCTTCAGGGACTAAACACAATATGGGAACGAGTTAAGTTATTGAAGTTCGTGACAGGTCAACTTTTAATGAATTTATTGCTCGTTCTGAATTCACATTGACAGAAAACTTTTCTCCAGATATGCAGGAGTCTGTCGATAGTTTTATCCAATTAACAATAATAATTAAATAAATAATATATTATGGCTTTTTTAAACTTATCAACTCAAGTATGTCCTGCTTAAATACCATGATCATTCTATTTCCCTGTTTTGCTGGCAATTGCAAATTAAACCTCACAAAATACATGTTTGTATTGTAGGTAATGGATGAACGGAAAATTAATGTCATCAATCAAGATTTTAGACAACTTTATTTAAGTTTAAATCATGATAAAACATATTTCAGGGACAAAATCTGATAAAAATTTTATGGCCAAAGTTAGGATGAATTATTATTAATAGCCCTCTGAAGGCCTATTCAGAAAGGTAAGCCATAATTTGTCAATTACCTGCCTAATATTTGAACTTTTTACTGTTAAGGATTCTTATTATGTCAATGATCACAGCATTAGCCATAATTTCAAGTTAAATTGCTTTTTTTTTGCGAAAATAAAGATTTGTTCATTGTGGCAGAGGAAGAGGCAGTTAACGTTGAATAATTAGTCGTTTTAAGGTACGAGTGGCTCATTTATCTTTGTCCTTCGTTGAGCCGTCGAGTTTTTTGTTATTCAAATATTGTATACTGTCTAGCCACAAAAGAGATTATTTTAATTAATGTGCTTCAACATAAATGACGTTATTCATACTTGTATCAAAGGAGAAATAAATCCTCTATATTAGATTTAATAAAAATATTACAATATAGGTCGGTTCAAACGAAAAGAATGTTAAAAAAAAGGAAAAATCTCGTGAGCTTGGCAAAGATACAGAAACAGTCCCCTAATCAAAAGTTTCAATAGAGGAATTTACATTTTATTGTTTTATTTTGGTTTGGAGCTTTTAGTGGCTTGTATGAGGCCTAGAGGAAAATGGAAAAGAGAATAGAAGTGGATTTATAAAACTATATGGTGTGTTTTGTCAAAATGAATAATAATAGAATACATTGAACAAGATCTAGGTGCTAGGACTTTCGTTATTCATTATCATTCTTATGCATAGACTTTGCTTATGCCAACTCCTGAAATATATCTGCAGAACTGGGTAGAAACTCCAAGGCCCGGCTAACGGACAAAAACGAAATCTATAATCCTATTGGTTGGTTTGGTAAACTTGTCTTCTAGAGAGTTACCAGCAAGTTTATTAGAAGATGAATACCTATACTGGTCCTAAATTTAATAAGCTCTTTAATGGGCACTTGGTTCGTTAGGGCTTCTAGTGGCAAAAAGTCATGAAGATATAACAACTGAAAATTACTATTTTCACTCACCATTTTTCATTAATTTTTTTCTCTCAGGCCAGTCCGACTTATTGTCTCCATGTAGCACTGAGAAGGTTTAGGTATTGTGCCTCTTTGTTTTATTCCAACCACTCTATTATTTTGGTGTCCTTTCAATATTGTACAGTCTTTTACTGGATGGTGTTTCGTTATTGTTTCCGGGACTACGTTTAGTTGCCGAGACTGTTGTGTCTTCTGCGATCCAGTGCTTCGCAGTTTAGCAGGAAATGTCTGGCTATCTCGGGTTCCTTATTGCAGAGTCTGCAGAAAAAGTCTCCGTTATACAGATTCATCCTGTTCAGATGGAACTTTACTGGTATGTGACCTGTCATAAAATTTACGAACCCTGTCTTTGATGTAGCTTCTGGTCATAGTTTTTGGTATCTCTAAAGCCGGCTCTGGCCCGCAGTACAGTCGAAATAGGGTTTAGGGTGGAACTAATCCCTACAGAGACAGGGTTCGATTTTTTAAGTTCGTTATCCATATCTTTTCAACATACTAAAAGTCTAGAAAAATGTGAGTGTGCAAAATGCGATTTTTGTTTGGTATCATTGGTATCAAATACCGGGAAATTTTATACTGAAAAAGTACATATTGTGGATTAAAAAGAATAATAGTATATTATATACCTAGGTAGAGAAGTTGGTCTGATTGGTCATTATACACCGAGCGTTTTTATTCAAATTATTTTTTTCTGTCGAAAGTGCTACTCTCTATCAACAGCTTATGGTAATTTCCTATGATGTACATACAGGAAACTATTTTTTTTTTTTAAATTGACAGTTTGAAATTGAAATTAAACCAATAGAATCCTGGTACGTCATGACAATATCCTTGCGTCATGACGTCATTTTCATTATTGACCTAGGTATTTTTTCATTATTTTCATTATCAACCTAGGAAGAAAAATTCAATTTTTTCCTACAAAAATAGATTGAATAATAAATACTTCTTAGGTGAGTAGTAAAAAATATTGTATGGAAAAAACTGAGCCTATACTGCGTAGAAATAATTAAATTCCATTTTTTTTTAGGTGATTTTCTTAAGTTTTGACAATTTCTAAGAAGCTTAACGTGGCAGATATAAACTATAGGTATATTGTGCTCTGAAAATAAAAGCGAAACATCAAAGTTTGTTAAGTTATATGCCAAAGGTATACAAGGAATCATAAGTAAAATTCGAAAAGACAATATCCATTAGTTATTTGAACAACTCCCTGATGACCCCGTGAGTGTCCATGTTGAATGCCGCCGTGAATATACAAATTCTAATAATATCCGGAGTGATGCAAAATTGAAGTTATCCACTCAGGATGAAGCACAAGCTAGTCGCTCCGGTCGGATATACCAAATTTTTTTTTCAAAGAACAATGCCTATTTTGTGGTCGCTTTGTTACTTACCGTGAGAAACGGGTTAAATCTAGGGTTATATAGGTCCGTACAGCAGCAGATGCCATTTACCACCAGGCATGCAGCGTAAATTTTCGAAATGGTGACCCGATCCCAAAGAAGTACCAAGATAATTCCCAAGACGAATTGAGTTGCAAAACTCTTGGTCGTCCGACGGAGAAAGAAAAGCATGATGCTTTTTTGGAAGTATGTAGGTGGTTCGAAGAAAATGATGAGCCCGTTGCCGTTTGTGTCCAGCAGTTGGTTAATAAAATGAAAGACTTTCTACCAGTTGGTAGTGAACCATATAGTCAACGCCACATGCTGCAAAAAAGAACATTTTTTTGGGAATATCATAGTTTCCTGAAAAGATGGAATGCCTAATATGGTAACTATGGGTCAAACAGTGGCTGATATAATCTTGGATTACCAGAAAAAAAAATGAGCTAGAAGATCCTGAAGCAGAGAAATATCATCTGATTGAAGCAGCAGCAAAACTGATCAAAACGGAAATCAAACTATTGTCAACTACAACGGAGCACTATCCCTCATCATCAGAAATTGCATCTGAACAGGAACATAAAAAGTTCTTGCCATCTGTTTTGCAACATTTTTTGGATATTATCATTGGTCCTAAGGCATGTGATTTGAAGAAGATTTCCATCCATGGGCAGACTTTGTTACTAGCTTCAAGACCAAGATCACTAATAAGTCCAATCTTCTTTGGTGTTGGTGTGCAGCTTCATCGCGATTTCGGTTCTCGTTTACTTGTAGACGAGCTTCACAGACTTGGGTTTTCCATATCATATGATGAAGTACTAAAGTACTTACAATAATGGACAAGACACCAAATATTCAAATTACACCAGGTCATTTCTGTCAGTTGATAGTAGATAATATGGACCACAACATCGATGGTCACAACACTTTCCATCGAATAGGAATTATAATGTGCAAATCTGGACCACTTGGTGCAAAGTCTAATTCACTGTCAGAGAGAAAGGTCCCTCGTTGCAAAATCCGACTTAATGCTGCTTTGATATCTCTGCAGAAGCAAAAATAGAAATTAGATTCTTTCAGTCTCTTAAATCAAGCATGAACAAAATTATATTTGAAGAACTGACTTCAAACCCTATTGAACATAATCTAGTAGATCTTTTGTGGAATACCAGTAAGTTGTTGAGGACGCCGCGTGGATGGAATGGTCAATGGATACAAGCAAAATGTGGTAATCAGTGATGAGCACCCAGAGGAAGTATCTACAACATTCACCCATGATTAATATGAATGCAGCAACTAACAGCTGTGTTTATACCACTTTGAAATTTATATGTTCGGAAGCAAAAAAACTCAACATACCTACACCTACCAGTTGTAACATTTGATCAGTGCCTGTGGATTACGGGTATGGAAGTTGTTTGCAGTAAATTTGAAGAATTCCCAAACATTTTAATTCGGCTTCGTGGCTCCCATACACTGATGTCATATTGAGGTACAATTGGTGAACTGTTATGTGGATCTGGAATCGAAGAGACCTTGAAGACAATTTACGCAGAAAACACAGTCTCACATATGCTTACAGGTAAAGCTTATTCAAGAGCTGTCAGAGGACACATACTGCTTTCATCTGTACTCACATCAATTTTGTTTCAGGATATCCTGGACAGTAACTTACAACTTCCGGCAGAGCTCTCAAGTGAGGGACAGGTGAAACTCATGGATACAGGTGAAATACATTTAAGTTTACACAGTCTTATGGAACTTTACGATTAGCTATATAATAGCGAGATTACAGTCTCTGAAATAAGTTCCTCTACCGAAATGCTAGAGTTTGTCTTCTGAATTGAAAGAAAAAAAGAACTCTTTAAAGGTCCAAAGTAGAACAGCCAAACTGTGGATCATGTATTTAGATATGTTGAATTATTGAAACATTGCTAAGGTATTTATTTGGGCTGAACGAACAGGAAACTTAAAAATGCATTTGCAAGCTATAGAGCACCTGCTGCCTTTCTTTGCGGCTGCGGGGCACAACTACTATGCAAAATGTGCTAGGGTATATCTACAGCAAATAAGACAAGTGGAAAAAAATCATAAAGATGTTTATAGTTTGTTAGGTGCTGGTCATTTCACTCTTCGTAGACACACTAGATTGTGGGCTGGAATATGGAAAGATATGTTTATTGAACAAACGTTGATGCGATCAACAAAAAGTCGAGGTGGATTAACACGCGGAAGGAGCATGGGTGAAAGTCAACGAGCTACATGGATATTGAGCCACCATGCATGTTATGAAGTTATTGCTGCTATGACGTCTCCCGTATTAGCAGTGAACAACATATTGAAATATCCGATGCTAGGACATCTAGAGCTATGAAAGACTTTCTGTTCAGTGGCGTAACTTCAAATCTGGGCCCCCCCGCAAGGATTTTCCCGGGGCCCATTTTTTATATACATATACATATATATATATATTTTTTTTTATTCTTTGAAGTGAAACTTTATAGGCGGCGGTCTGATATTTGGACGACAATGGAGAGTGATTTGAAATACGCGTCACGTAACGTCACGTTAAGGCCCACTTCGTTATATGGGAGAGAAGAAAGATATAGAAAGACGGAGAAAAACAGTTGTTCAAAAACTCGTTTAAAAATAAGAAACCAAAGGACATAAATCAAATTTTGAAAATAAAACAAAAATAAGGAACATAGGAAACATAAATATTATTCGTTCACAATCCGATGTCGACAGGTAGGTACAGGTAAAATCACCTTTCAATGCTATTTGATAGGGAAAAGTGATAAATTTACCCGCACATGTGAACATCAGATTGTGAACAGGATATAAATACCAAGCATATAATACAAATATCTAGTAAATATAACAAAACGAAGAACATAAAAAACATCAGGGTGATTCCGAAATGGCTCTCCATTACGTCGTAGGACCCTTGAGGGAACCTCAGAAAAATAGTAAAAGAAATCCTTCTCGACCAATCTTGGTGCTGCGATATTTCCTATAAAGTTCAAAATCTCTAAGGATCGGTTTATTCATCTTCAGACAAACTTGCTGGTAACTATCTGCAAGAGGAATTTACCGTTTTTCATTCTATTAGTCGGCAGACAACTGGTCGACCAATGGGATTACAGATTGCGTTTTTATCCGCCAAATTACATAAACGACAGTTTATCAGAAGGTGAATAAACCGACCCTGGAATCTGGCAACGTTGTTTTATGTTTTGGTTTTTGCAGGTATGTCAAATATTTTACTGGTTTTGATTCACTGATAGTTATATCAGTATAATGTATGGGGTGTATGACAATTTTCTGCTGAGATATTAAGAGTTATTGGACGTGCAATAAGGACAAGGACAAACAGTAGTTAAATCAGCCTTATTTTGACATCTGCGCATGCGTATTTGTGTCTGAAAATAGAAAATAAGGATTCCCTTAACAAGGATACTGCTTAGGTGTTTTCTCGCATCTCAAATGTTTTAAAATGTTTTTCAAAAATGGTTTAAAACAGTGTCACATGACGTCAAATTTTTTTCGGCGCGAGAAATTGGTTTGAAAACATGGATTGGATTGTATTTCGAAACGGTTGAAACAATTTTGATGTGACGTCATGGAATCATCGCGAGAATATACTGTTTCAAACCTGTTTTGAACCAGTTTCAAAAAAGTGAACGCGAGAAAACAGCTCTGAGATTAAAATTTATAAAAATAGCTATCAGCTGTCAAAAATTAGGAATACAAAATAAGGTAATACTCAACACATACTACAGTCTTCGAATAACTGTTATTTTCTTAAAGAAATAGTGCTGATGCACTAATAAAATAACGTACCTACATCCTTCAGGCACAAGGTTCATAAGAACAAATTCTCTATGCAGAGAATAAGTTAAAGTATTTTCTTTTAGTTTAGTATTTTCTAGTGTCCATTTTAGTATTTTCTCGTCACCAGTTTAGTACTTTCTTGTCGCCTGTCCTGGGGCCACGCAGGGCCCCCAAAATCACGGGGCCCCCCCGCAACCGCGGGTCCTGCGGGCCCTTAGTTACGCCACTGTACATTACTTCAATTTTTGCAAGATCACAATCCATTTGATTCAGAATGCGTTTAGCTACGTAATATTTTCAGTGGGTTACTAGACAGTCAACACAAGTTAGATGATGCTAAGTTAATTGGACTTCAAATCGAATCCAAACTTACTTGAAAAGCTTTTAACTCTGTTACCATGGTTAAAAAGAATCAACCTGTCACAATGAAGATACTAAGAAAAGATATTGTTATCGACGGAGCTGTTCCACATATTGACACAGATCACCTAATACAGATGCGTAAGTACGTATACTTGCTGTCGACGATATTCTGTGACGAAGCCGGGCTGCCAGCAAACCCACACATAGATAAAGATCGCCCGCTTCAGGACAATTAACGTGGCCGAGTGCGTGAGCATGTTCCAGCCTGTGTGTTTACATATTTTTGCGGGTAGAAAAAAATACTTTTTTGCTGTTTGTGAACCAATTAAAGAAATAATATTATATTATTGAGCTTCCGCATTTATATAATAAATATGTTCAAAATACATTGATGTGGCATTGGTGCGGCCAGCCTATGTCTATTAAATTAATTTTGAACCACGAATTCGCCGCTCTTTCGCATCTGTATGTAGGTAATCTGTGATATTGACACAAGACTCCCCACTCAGAGAACTATCTATACTTCCTCCATCGCTTTTTGATCCAGACACTCAGTTATTTAGGACATGCGACAAATCATCATTGACAATAACTTTGGATGACTTACAACCTAGTTTAACTTACATGTTGCCTGCGGAAACATGTTATGTTCTTGACGGTGGTACAGTATTACACAAATTGCCATGGCCAAAAACTGGGAAATTTTCAGATGTGTTACAACTATATAGCAGTCATATTGCTAACCAATATAAAGTTTTGATAGTTGTATTTGATGGCTATACCACCTCCAGTACAAAGGATGTTGAGCATCAGATACGCAAAAAACAATCCTCGGTAACAGTGAAATTTACCAAGAGTTATCCACTTCTTATCGGCAAAGCACCTTTTCTTTCTAATAATGAAAATAAACAGTGCTTTATTACCATACTTGGGAAACACTTAGAAGCCAATGGTCACACTGTGATTCAGGCTACAGATGATACTGACACACTTATTGTCAGAACAGCACTGACCTTGGCAGAAGAAAAACACGTAACAGTTGTTACTGACGACACCGATATTCTGGTACTTCTAATTTACCATAACACACGAAATATTTGGTTGCAGTCATCTATGTTCAGTGATAAAAAACGTGGTATTAAATCGCTGCAACATATGCTTGGTGAAAAGGGGTGCAAAATCATTATCTTTTCCCATGCTTTAACCGGATGCGATACCACAAGCTCCTTATTTGGGAAAAGTAAATCGGCAGCATATCGACATTTTTGGAAATATGAAGAATTTAGCATTTGCGCTACTTTGTTTGGATCAGAAAATGCAAACAGAAAGGAACGGTGGAAATCCAGAGACAGAGACCTTAAATCTACTACGATATAATCTCTACTTGAAAAAAATCACAACTGCCAAGAGTGAATTCAATATTGCAAGATTGCCACCAACTGAAGATGCTACTGTTCAGCACCTTCTTCGTGTACATTTACAATGTCTTTGTTGGAAAACCATGAACTCCAATATTGCCAACCCCGAAGAGTGGGGTTGGAAACAAGTAGGAGACTAGCAACAGCCAATAACGTGTGGAATGAGCCCTGCACCAGAGTTATCACTAAACACAATTCGCTGCACCTGCAAAACGGATACAAATGAGCCGCGTGGTAGTGCTAGATGTACTTGTAGACGGTTAGTATGGAATGTACTGAGATATGCTGCAACTGTTCTGGTAGCAAGTGTACAAATAGTGCCTTGAAAGAAAGCGTTGAAAAAAATGGAGAAGACTATTAGACCTAATAGATTGGGAGGGCGTGACAGGTTTCACCTACTGATTTTATTCCGCATGCCCTTTTAATGGTTGATAATTAACCCAGAAACAGTAAGAAAAAATATGATTTTCAACGCCGCTCGTAGCCGCTATATAGGTAAAATCGAATTTTCATTTGTGAAAAACTTTTCTGGTTTTTGGTGATCTGTAACTGCATGCCATTGAAACATAAGGTAAAACTAACGAATTGAAAGTCTTGCAAGGAAAGGCATGCACCCCGCAGTAGCGCAAATGCTTCAAAGAGTCACCTGAAGATGAAAAAAATAATGCTGATTTTTAATGTTTTGAAATTGCATGCCAATGGAAATATTTAATTTTCATCCAAATAACAGCCTAAAAAATAAATGGCATGCGCCGCTCGGTGGAGGAAATCCGGAAAATTAGCGGAAAATCTTGTGAAAATTTTTAGTATACTTTTGGTGATTTTAAACTCGTTCAAACAATGTTCAGTAATGATTTTGTAATGAAATAATTATATAGCCCGAAAGGCATGCATCCAGCTTTGGAGCATCGTATTGTAAACAATAATCAAAGTTGTAAAAAATAATAAAAATAAATAATGATTTCTTTTTGCATGCCACTTGGCAATTTATTGAAAGATGTCATTTCAAGTCCAAAAACAAAATGGCATGTATGTATCGCCAGTGCAAGTATAGTTTTTGTAGGTTTTATATAAAAAAAATAGCTGACCCAAAACACTAAACAGTGTTGTCGCGCCCCCATCCTTTAACGCAAAAATAGTCGGTACATGCTTTTTGAAAAATCGGCAAATCTTCAAAATATTGCTTATTTTTATTTAATGTTTAGCGTCGTAACGTGTTTTATAATAAAAGGCAAGTTCCTAAAGTTATTTGAGTAGATTTGTAAAATTCATCAATAAATTAAACCACCCAAGTAGTAGATCTACCCCAAAATTGTTAGCAATGGCAACCTAGGCTCGGTACGGTGAGTGCGCGGACTGCTCGGTGGGTGGCAAGGTTCCTAAACTTCATAGGTTGTCTGGTAATGAGTAACTTGATGATGCATCTGGGGTGCCTTATGGAGATTTGCATTATGTTGAGGCACCCAAGATGACGTCATAAAGTTATCAGGCAACCTACCTCCCTCAAACAACCTTGGGTCGGTGACGCCCAAGTATTTTATTGGTAATTTTCATCAAATTACTCTGAAACAGGTAGAAATAACACACATTTATATGGAGGCAATGTTTAACCTCAATGGTTTGTTTACATTCGTGCCGCATCGCCATCTTGACTTATCAGCTGATTCGAATCGCCTAACTTGCTAATGTCCAATGTAGACACTACGGTACGTACCTATACATTTCCGTAAAATAAGGTTCATACAAATACATATTAGAAAATTAGCTTTTTACGGAAATGTACTTAACGTGGTTTTTACGTTGGACGAAGGTAATGGGTATAGGCATTGTATAAAGCCTAAGGCGAGCGCAGGCATTACGGGAAAAATTTGTGCCACGGCCTTTATGCTGCAAATGGGTGCATGGCATTCCCTTTTCGAATTTGAAATAACATTGTTTAATCATATGCAAATTGGCATGTAAAATGAAATCATTAAAATTTTTGGTAAAAAAAATCACATATTTTATATATATCCTGTTCACAATCCGATGTCCACAGGTGCAGGTAAATTTATCACCTTTTCCTATCAAATAGCATTGAAAGGTGATTTTACCTGTACCTACCTGTGGACATCGGATTGTGAACGGATAATATATCCTAATCACAATCCGTACTCCAAAGGTAAAGGTAAATTTATCACCTTTCCCTATCAAATAGCACTGAAAGGTGATAAATTTTACTTTTACCTTTGGACATCGGATTGTGAATAGATAATATTTATATGTAGGGCTGCAGATGCGTGCATGCCATTTTGTTTCTGCACTTGAAATATCTTTTTTCTCCAAACGTCAAAAAAACGTCACTTTGTTAATGCCTATCAAGATATCAGAAATGTAATTTCTATGCTGCTAGGCAAATCCAGCGGGTTAACACCTGTCGAGGTGGTAGAAATTTAATTTCTATGCTGCTAGGCAACCGCAGCGGCAGTAGAAGTACTTTCAGTGCCGCTCGTACTTTTACTGCCGCTCAACCATTCAGTTACCCCCGAGCTTACTCCATTCGTTTGGAGAAAAAATAGCGTGTTGCATACGGAGTAGAAGCACTATTTTGTGCTTCAGCAGTATTACAAGCCTCACTACGTTCGGCTCGCAAACCTACTGCTTCACCACAAAAAAGTAAAGCTTCTACTCCTAATACAACAATATACTATTTTTAATGAATTGCAAAATGGCAAGCAAAAAACAATCATTATTTTTTGTTTATATTTTTTGCAACTTTTTCCATGCATGCCTATTCAATGTTACGCCCTGAAATGCATGCCAATTTTTTTTTTTAATAATCATTATATAAATGAAAATTTGAGCAAATGGCATGCAATTTGAAATCACCAAAAGTATACTTAAAATTTTCACAAGATTTTCCGCTAATTTTCCGGATTTCCTCCACCGAGCGGCGCATGCCATTTATTTTTAAGGCTGTTATTTGGATGAAAATTAAATATTTCCATTGGCATGCAATTTCGAAACATTAAAAATCAGCATTATTTTTTTCATCTTCAGGTGACTCTTTGAAGCATTTGCGATACTGCGGGGTGCATGCCTTTCATTGCAAGACTTTCAATTCGTTAGTTTTACCTTATGTTTAAGCGGCATGCAGTTACAGATCACCAAAAACCACAAAAAAATTTCACAAATGAAAATTCGATTTTCCCTATATAGCGGCTGCGAGCGGCGGTGAAAATCATATTTTTTCTTACTGTTTCTGGGTTAATTATCAACCATTAAAAAGGCATGCGGGATAAAATCAGTAGGTAAAACCTGTCACGCCCTCCCAATCTATAATTTTTGTATTTTTTTATACCGCCTTTTGATTATTAAAAATACAATTTTCTGGATAAGCTTTCAGTTTTTCGTCCACCACTTTGTTATTTAATTTTATTTATTTACATTATTATCATAGTCATGTTCAGCATAAAATTTCCCTTATTTGATACCACACACGATTTTTTAGGAATTTTTTGAAAAAAATTAAAATGACGCCCCTTTCGCATACTTTTATTTTTCTAGACTTTCAGTATGTTGAAAGGATATGAGTAATGAACTTAAAAAATCAAACCCCGTCTTTGTAGGAATTAGTACCACCTTTGGCAAATTTTTTGCGTAAATCTACTGTACTACCGGTAAGTTTTGATCTGATTTTCTTTTGCGAGTTCGTTAGCTTTTTCTCTCTCTTTCTCTTAGCGTGGAGTTGATCCACACAAATTAAGAAGTTGTCCTCAACTACTGTCTAATCACACATTAGCCATTTTTCTCCGAACCGAGTAGCCAGAATGTTTAATCACAAATTAGCCATATTTTCTTCCAAATTTAAAACCTTTACTTTACTTTTTTACTATTCACCAACTAGCCAAGCATTTCTGAAGTCATCGACATTACGAATACTGGGTCAGTACAACATATAATTCAGCACTTTAGTTAATTACCTTTGTAAATATTGCATTTTTTTGTGTATAAATAGTGTTACCGTTCCTTGAATAAATTAGTATTAAACCATCAGTCGTTTGTACTCAATCACAACCACGGTCAACTGCTTACCACCCTATCAACAAAGAAGAATTAGTCATTCTCTGCCGCCTTTTCTATGATTGATGAATGATTTGCAGGTGGAGAAATCAGTCATTATCTACTATTATACAACAAAATTTCGAAGCATTGGGAGACCATCTCCGAGATATATATTAAGCTGCAAGGTCAGGGCCTTTCTAAAACAATTAAGAATCCCTATGAACAAATCGAGCTCAAATATGAAGATGTGCTGGAAACATTGGAATCCAAAATCCGAGGCCAGGATATTCTGACTCAGGCACCAAAATTATGCAATATCAGTCTTCCTCAGATAAAGTTACCGTTATTCGATGGTCAGTATGAAGAATAGGTAACTTTCCGAGACATTTTCAGAAAAGTGCTCCATAAAAACATAAATCTGACGAAGATTGAGAAGCTGCAGTACTCAAAACCCATATTCGAGGAGAAGCTAGTAGACTCATACAGCATCTTCAAATTTCAGACATTAACTATCAGATAGCATGGCAAATCTTAAGCAATCGTTACAGCAACGGAAGACTTAACATCTGAAAATTAATAGACAGAATCTTGGATATTCCTGCG